CCATCTCTGTTACCCAGGCTAGACTGCATTGGCAGGATCTTGGTTCATTGTAGCCTCAACCTCACAGGCTCAAGCCATCCTCCCACCTCAGCCTCAGCCTCCCCAGTAGCTGGGACTACAGGCACTTGCCACCACGCCCAGCTGATGTTTTTGCATTTTTTGCAGAGGCAAGGTTTTGTCCTGTTGCCCCGGTTAGTCTTAAACTCCTGGACGCTATCCATCCATCCACCTTGGCCTTCCAAAATGCTGGGATTACAGGTGTGAGTCACTGTGCCCAACCAATTATTTTTTGTTTGTTTGTTTTGAGACAGGGTCTCACCCTGTCACCCAGGCTGGAGTGCAGTGGCGCAAACATGGCTCACTTCAGCCTTGACCTCTAAGGCTCAGGTACTGAGCCCTCAGCCTCCTCAGTACTTGGGACTACAGGCATTTGCCACCAAGCTGAGCTAATTTTATTTACTTAGTTTTTCTTTTCTTTCTTTCTTTTTTTTTTGAAACAGAGTCTTGCTCTGTTGCCCAGGCTGTAGTGCAGTGGCTGGATCTCGGCTCACTGGAATCTCCACCTCCTGAATTCAAGCAATTTTCCTGCCTCAGCCTCCCAAGTAGCTGGGATTGCAGGCGCCTGCCACCATGCCCAGCTAATTTTTGTATTTTTAGTAGAGGTGGGGTTTTGCCATGTTGGCCAGGCTGGTCTCAAACTCCTGACCTCATGATCTGCCTGCCTTGGCCTCCTAAAGTGCTGGGATGGGATTACAAGCATGAGCTACTATGCCTGGTCAGGCATGAGCTTTTGTAGAGCACACCAGACTGAAAATAAAGACTGTGGAGCTTTTTTTTTTTTTGGGACAGAGTCTCACTCTGTCACCCAGGCTGGAGTGCAGTAGTGTGATCTGGGCTCACTGCAACCTCCGTCTCCCAGGTTCAATTGATTCTCCTGCCTCAGCCTCCTGAGTAGCTGGGACTACAAGCACTTGCCACTGCCCAGCTAATTTTTGTATTTTTAGTAGAGATGAGGTTTCACCATGTTGGCCAGGATGGTCTTGATTTCTTGACCTCGTGATCTGCCTGCCTTGACCTCCCAACGTGCTGTGATTATAGGCGTGAGCCACCATGCCCGGCCATTCCTTGCTCTTCTTTTCCCTGTATTCCACAGGGCAGAGCCACGACTCCAGCCCACTGAAGGCAAAGGTCACCCTGGGCCCACCTACCCCCCCAAGGAGCAAATTCCACTGACCGGAACACTCAGGAAGGGTCTTAGAGTGGCTGAGGCTTATCACCTCATCGACAACACGACATCAGGACATGTAATTCTTATTTATTTTTCACCCTCAACAAGGAAGAAAGGTCTCTCCCTCAATTTTGCTATTCCACTACTTGAGGATAGGCACCCCTAACCCTCCTTCCTCCAGGGAGGCCTCAATGTCAGTGTCTGTGGAAATAGTCTCTGAAGAGTGCTTGAGCTGGTGGGGTGGGGAAGGAGAAACTCAAAAGAGACACCGGCTAGGGATGGCATCATTTTCCTGCCAACTTTCTCATTGCCTCTCCTTCAAAGCGGAAGGAGTGCCAGCCCTCAGCTTCCGTCAGATCTTGGGCTCCTAGGGCCTTGTACAAGTCTATGGCCTTCTGGTTCCAGTTCAGGACAGCCAGACGAAACTGGGAGCAGCCCTTATCCAGGGCCACCTGTGGGATCAGACATCACTGACTTTCCTGGGGTCAAAAAAGGAAAAGGCTTTCTCACGCCCTCATTCAACCCGGGCCCCCCCGCCCCCATATACCCTTGCTTCTTTTTTTTTTTTTTTTTTTACCCTTGCTTCTTGAGCTCCTCGCTGATCACCCCATCCCTCTCCTCACCTCAGCCACCTTTTTGATTATTTTGGAACCAATCCCTTGACCTGTTGTGGAGAGAAAGAGGCAAAAAAGAGCTATTGTTTGAGCTGAAGGGGATCAGAAAAAGACATCCCCTGGGATGCGGGGACAGGGGATGATGGTGGGGTCTGTGGGGGTCCTTTGTTCCCACCCCAACCTCAGCTTCTGCCCAGTACCCCGATATTCTGGCATCACGTAGACATCTTCCAGATAAATGTTGCGTCCCTTCCATGTGCTGTAGATGAAGTAGTATAGCCCATAGCCCACCACGCAGGGCCCTGAGAGAGAAAAAAGAGGAGTAAGGCCCCTGGGAGCCGGTGGGGAGAGAGAGAAAAGGCCTCTGAGAGCCTGCGGGGAGACCTCTGAGGCCGACTGGAGAGGGGGACCTCTAAGGCCAGGTGCTCTTACCCAGTGGCTCCCCGGGCGCTGGAAGAATCTCTGCTACCAAACAGTGATAGAAAGGATTCTCTCCAAAGCCATCTGCTCTCAGGGCTGCCGAGATTGGAGTTATGACAAAGAGACAGAGAAACAAGACCTGGGTGTATGCCCAGCCTGGAGCTGCCGCCTGGGGAACTCATCCCTCACTTCCGCCCCAGCCTCCGCCAGAACCTAGGCGTTGAGACCCCACCTTCTTCACTGATCTTCACCTGATCCAAGAGTTTTTCGAACTCGGCTAGTTCCTAAGGCGTGGGTACAGAGGCTAGATTAGGGCAGGAGAGCCCCGTTGCTCCCCAAGCAGGGGTCCCAAGGCACGCCCCTCCCCCTGCCTCCCGCCTCCTGAGCCCCCAGCTCTGGCCGCGCCACTCTGACCCCCTGGTTTCCGGCCCGCAGTCTTCACCCGAATCAGCCTCAGGATATCTCCACAGTCTCCCTCCTTGGCTTCTCGGATCCGCACAGAAGCCATCCTGATCCCCACTGTCTGGGGCCAAAGTCCCAGGACCCCGCAAAGGGCAGCTAGACTCCTTAAAGGGCCTGCAAGCTTGGATCCCGAAGAGCCTGGGAAAGCAGGGTGGCGAGGGCGGCGGGGCCGCAGCGGCTTGGGAAATGGAGCTGGGATTCACGCGCGGTCGGGTAGGAGAGAGTGGGCCGGGGAGGCGGTCCTCACTGCCGGGCAAAGCCCCGCCCCCTCGAATCTGCCGCCGCAGGGGACACACCCATCAGCCAATAAACTCCGAGAACAGGCGCAGCCTCGCCTCCCGATCCCACCCCGACAGCTGGGTCTTGTGACTGTGCCCTGAGTAGGGGTCAAGGTTGGAGAGCAGCGGCTTTCTAGCGGTTGTATGGGTGTCCCAACCTTCATCGAGACACCCCACAGTTCAAAGGTTTCCCCGCAGTGCTTTTTAAATTGACGAATGGAGGCCGGGCGTGGTGGCTCACGCTTGTAATCCTAGCCCTTTGAGGGGCCGAGGCGGGTGGATTACTTTAGCTCAGGAGTTCAAGACCAGCCTGAGAACACAGTGAAACCCGGTCTCTACTAAAAAATACAAAAAATTAGCCGGTCATGGCGGCGTGTGCCTGTAATCCCAGCTACTCTGGAGGTTGAGACAGGAGAATCGCTTGAAACTGGGAGGCGGAGGTTGCAGCGAGCTGAGATCAAGCCACTGTACTCCAGCCTGGGTGACAGAGCGAGACTCCATCTCAAAAAAATAAAAAATACATTGACATATACAGTGATTATCTGCTTTAGCCTCAGGCTCACTCACCGGCCCAGACCCTGGGTAAGCCCCAAGACTGCCAGCTCTGAAAGCTGTTTTCTGCAGCTCTCGAGTAGCTTGAAGTGTTACTTCTCTCAGGGGGGAATTTGCATTTATAAAAATGTTTTATTTATTTATTTATGGAGATGGATTTTTTTTTTTTTTTTTTTTTTGAGTCGGAGTCTCACTCTGTCATCCAGGCTGGTGTGTAGTGGCACGATCTCGGCTCACTGCAACGGAAGTGGGGTTTCATCATGTTGGTCAGGCGGGTCTGGAACTCTTGACCTCATCTGACCACCTCCGCCTCCCAAAGTGCTGGGATTACAGATGTGAGCTACCGCGACTGGTCTGACATTTGAATTTTAAAATGGGTCAGGGGCTGGGCACGGTGGTTCATGACTGTAATCCCAGCACTTTGGGAGGCAGAGGCAGGCAGATCACTTGAGGTCAGGAGTTAGAGACCAGCCTGACCAACATGGTGAAACCCTGTCTCTACTAAAAATACAAAAATTAGCCAGGCATGGTGGCTGGCGTCTGTAATCCCACCAACATGGTGAAATCCCCGTCTCTACTAAAAATAAAAAATAAAAAAAAATAGGTGGGCATGGTGGTGCGTGCACCTGTAGTCCCAGCTACTCAGGAGGCTGAGACAGGAGGATCACTTGAACTCAAGAGGCAAGGGCAGCAGTGAGCTGAGATCATGCCACCGTACTCCAGCCTGGGTGACAGCGCAAGACTGTCTAAAATAAATAAAAATGGGTCAGGGAGTGGGTGATGAATTTCTACTGCTAGACTGTTAGGCCCTGCAATAAATGGATAGGTAGGATCACTGGGAGGCAGAGGTGGGTCCCTTCTTAATATTCACTGAATCATACACACAACAATACCTTCTTGGGAGACAGGTCTCAGAGGCCTGGGAAAAGACTGGGCGGGAGTTCAGACCAGATGTCAGGCACTGTGCCTGCATTATCTCAATGAACGCTCTCTCATAGTTACCCCATAAACTATTATTTTCCTCATTTTACAGACAAGGTCACAGAAGCCCAAAGATGAAGTGACTTGCCCAAATTCGCCCAGCTAGAAATTTAGGATTCCATTCTCATTTGGAGCCCTCATACAGGTTGCTACTTGGCATGCAGGGCAGGGCTGTTTCTAGACCTCGTGCCTGTGAATGCAGCCTCCCCAGACGGACAGAAAGCTTGGAGGACCTAGGTCAGGCCCTAAAGGTGGAAGAGAGGGGGGATGGAGTATCCTCTCCCAGCTCATAAACTTTCTTGGCAGTGGAGGATGGTAGCGGAGGGACTCTGTCATTCACCCCATTGATCCCCAGAGTGTTGGCAGCTGTGTCTTGTGACTGGGTATCTAGGCAGGGGTCAAGGGTCAGTGCCCCTGTTTCCTTTACCCAGCTCCCCCCTCCCCGGGGGCAACCTTTAACCCTCCACCGCCCACATGCAAGTCTGCCTGCCTCTACACATTCTCCCAAGAGTTGTCCGAGCCCCGAGTGGACAGCGGCTGACTATGGAGAGCAGAGGCCCACTGGCCACCTCGCGCCTGCTGCTGTTGCTACTGCTGCTTGCCACTCACCAGGGATGGGCCCTGAGACCTACTCTCCCCACCCAGGTGCAGGAGCGGGACAGGGGCTCAGCTCATGCCATCTCCCCTTCTCTGCTCCTCTGGCCCTGTAGCAGTGCCTCCCCCTCTGTCTGTCTCTGAAAAGTCCTTACTCAGCCTTGTGTATTTTCTCTTTCTGATAGAGAACCCAGGACTTTCCAGGTGTCCACCTCAGCAATGGCCCAGGACACGAGCCTGTTGCTGTCATGACCTTTGACCTCACCAAGATTACAAAGTATGGGGTTGGCCTAGTGCTTGACCCAGTCCCCTGGCTCTGCCCTCTCACCATCAGCTCTTCTCTTTCCCTGTCTTCCTTTCCTTCTTTATTCTCTTTCCCTGTCTTCCTTTCCTTCTTTATTCTCTTTCCCTGTCTTCCTTTCCTTCTTTATCTGTGAACAACACCTCCCCCAAACCCACACTGGCTCTCAAAGAGCACACAGCATAGACAATCTTTCCTTCTGCACTTCCAGATCCTCCTCCTCCTTTGAGATTCGAACCTGGGACCCAGAGGGAGTGATTTTTTATGGGGATACCAACCCTAAGGATGACTGGTTTATGCTGGGACTTCGGGATGGCAGGCCTGAGATCCAACTGCACAATCCCTGGGCTCAGCTTACGGTGGGTGCTGGACCACGACTGGATGATGGGAGATGGCACCAGGTAAGCTAGCTCTGGTCCCAGGGGAGGGATGTCTGGAGCTGGTCTGAGGAAAAGGAACGAAACCAAGTTATTGGCCATCCCTTTACCACTGTCATCTCATTTAATCCGCACGAACCCCCACAAGGTAGCTATTCTTGGTCCCATCTTATCTGATAGGAATTCTAAGGCTCAATCAGTAGGTAAGTGATAAGGCCTTAGTGAGCCAAGGCCAAGGATGCCAGCTGAGTCTTTAAGGCATGTTCTTTCCACTATAGTACGAGGCTGGCTCCCAGGAAGGTGGCAGAGACAGCTCCCAGGGGCCTCTGATTCTGCTTCCCACCTTCCTGCAGGTGGAAGTCAAGATTGATGGAGACTCTGTGCTGCTGAAGGTGGATGGGGAGGAGGTGTTGTGCCTGAGACAGGTCTCTGGGTCCCTGGCCAGCAAAGACCATCCTACCTTGAAGATTGCGGTTGGGGGGCTGCTCTTCCCTTCTTCCAACCTTCGGTTGCCGGTAACTACATCACAGGGGCGGAACCCTAGCCAAGTCTTGGTAAAGCATGCTAAGTGAGTGGCCGTGGGAATCAAAGTCCATGCTTTTAGGGAGATGGGATGGGTTGAGAGCACAAGGGGGAGGCCAGATGCTCAGAGGGGAGTAAACTGAGGTAGGGAGGCTGGGACTGGGGCTCTGATGACCTGATTTCTACATCCCCATATCTCACCTCCATCACATTCCAGCTCATTCCTGCCCTGGATGGCTGCCTGCGCCGAGATTCCTGGCTGGACAAACAGGCCGAGATCTCAGCATCTGCCCCCCCTAGCCTCAGAAGCTGTGATGTCGAATCAAATCCTGGGATATTTCTCCCTGCAGGGACTCATGCAGAATTCAATCTCCAAGGTAGATTTCCTTGGAGCCTCTTTTCCCCACCTTGGCCAGCTCGGCCTGCCCCTGTCTTCCTCCACCACTGACCCCTTTCCTCCCTGCAGTCCTAGCTTCAAGGCCTCAGGATAATCATTTCTCCCCACAGACATTCCCCAGCCTCATGCAGAGCCCTGGGCCTTCTCTTTGGACCTGGGACTTGAGCAGGCAGCAGGCTCAGGCCACCTCCTTGCCCTTGGGACACTGGAGAACCCATCTTGGCTCAGTCTCTACCTCCAAGATCAAGTAAAGGGGGAGAATGGGGCACTGCCTGTTTTCAGTGGAGCCTGGAGCAATGAGGGGAGAGAGCAGTCCAAAATGTCAATATTAGGAAGACTTCCAGCCCAGGAAGTCTTCCAGTCCGGGAACATAGAGAGACCCTGGCTCTCCAAAATTGTTTTTTATCAATAATTAGCCAGGCATGGTGGTGCATGCCTATAATCCCAAAGTGCTAGAGGCCAAGACCAGAGGATCATTTGAGGCCAGGAGTTTGTGACCAACCTGGGCAACATAGCAGAGACTTCTGTCTCAAAAAAAAAAATTAGCGAGGCATGGTGACACGTGTCTGTTGCCCTAGCTACTTAGGAGGCTGAGGCAGGAGGTTCGCTGGAGCCCAGGAGTTTGAGGCTGAAGTGAGCTATGATGGTGCCACTGCATTCTGACCTGGGCCACAGTGAGACTCTGTCTTAAAAAGATAAAAACAAAAGTAAGGCTTATGGATGGCATTCAGGTGGGTGGTGGGGCCAGGGACATATCTTGAGGCTGTTCACAGCAAGCAAACAGTTGACTCAGACTGCCTATTTACTTGGGGTGAGTGTGGTTTTAAAAAGGGTCAAGCCAAAAAAAAAAAAAAAAATTGGGCAGGATTTAAGTGGTGAGAATGGCCAGTAGGTGGAGGCATAGCGAAGAGGCAGAATGAAGGCAGCTAGGGGTGAGGCTGCGGCAGCAAGCCAGGCTCATTCTTCCGTCCCTCACTACAGCCTCTTTCCCACACACTCTGCAGAAGGTGGTGCTGTCTTCTGGGTCGGGGCCAAGGCTGGATCTGCCCCTGGTCTTAGGACTCCCTCTTCAGCTGAAGCTGAGTATGTCCAGGGTGATCTTGAGCCAAGGGCTGAAGATGGAGGTCCTTGCCCTGCCTCCTTTAGGCCTGGCTCCCCTCCTTAACCTCTGGGACCAGCCTCAAGGGCGTCTCTTCCTGGGAGCTTTACCAGGTAAGAGAGAATGATGTTCAAGTTCATTAGCACACCATTGGAAACAGCTCAAGGGAGGGGGCACATTTTGAGGGGAAGGAAACTCTGGGAGGGAAGAATAGGCCCTCCCTATTCAAGAAGAATATATGGGGGCAGTGGGAGGTAGTGCTTTTGCAAACTCAGGTTGGAGGAGTGGAAAAGTGGGGAGAAGATTCTGGATGCGATCCACCTTAATGCTCTAATGCCACCTCTGCACTACCTTCCTCTAGGAGAGGACTCTTCCACTTCTTTTTGCCTGAATGGCCTTTGGGCACAAGGTCAGAGGCTGGACGTGGACCGAGCCCTGAACAGAAGCCATGACATCTGGACTCACAGCTGCCCCCAGAACCCAGGCAATGGCACTGATGTTTCCCATTAAAGTTCCACCTAAGAAACCCCTTTGAAAGTTACTTACTATTCATTTATTCAACAAATATTCACTGTGCACTAGCAATGTACCATGCACTGTGCCAAGCATTGAGTTGTCTTTGCGACTTTAATCTCAGTTTTTCAATAGGCTGAGGTTGAGACAGAGTTTCCCTCTTGTAGCCTGGGCTGCAGTGCAATGGCATGATCTCGGCTCACTGCAACCTCCACCTCCCGGGTTCAAGCAATTCTCCTGCCTCAACCTCCTGAGTGGCTGGGATTACAGGTGCCCACCACCACGCCTGGCTAATTTTTTGTATTATTATTAATTTTTTCTTGAGACAGAGTCTTGCTCTGTCGCCCAGGCTGGAGTGCAGTGGCGAAATCTCATCTCACTGCAACCTCTGCCTCCTGGGTTCAAGCAATTCTCTGCCTCAGCCTCTTGAGTAGCTGAGATTATAGTCGCCTGCCACCATGCCTGGCTAATTTTTTTGTATTTTTAGTAGAGACAGGGTTTCATCATTTGGCCAGGCTGGTCTTGAACTCCTGACCTCAGGTGATCCTCCTGCCTCAGCCTCCCAAAGTGTTGGGATTACAGCAGTGAGCCACCATGCCCTGCTGAAAATGAGGACTTCTTAGGCTGAGATCCCAGCAACAACCCCCACAGACAGTCACACCCCAGATATGGGTCACTTTCTGGAAGTCAGAACCCACCCTATTCCTCAGAATCTAATCCCTTTGAGACTCCAGTTTCCTGTCTCTGTGGCTGGTCCAGAGAGATCAGGAGGAAGGGAAGAGATGGGATTTTGTCATCTCAGTCATCTTGTCCTTGGACTGGCCGTTGCTGCCCAAGGAAGGAGCAGCAGGGGGCGTGCGAGGGTCATAGGGAGATGTGGGCAGGGGTTCTGGAAAAAGGGGTGGAGGCAGGGGGAAAGATAAAGGCAGGAGAGCCGCTGGAGAAAGGCCCCCCTCTCTCTCTCCTGGTCTCGGTCCACTTGCTGCGTTCCCAGAAGAATTTGTCTCTACTCTATTAAGCAAGAACTGGTTTGTGCTGGTCCCAGCTGGGAAAAACAGACAGATTTGGGAATATCTCTGCCCTCAAAGAATGTGGTGACCCAGCTCTCAACCACAGACCTCTGGAGAATGCTGGTGCCCCAGCATCTCTCCCTGGGGAACCCTCGTGCCCAAGCCTCTAGCCCCAGCCCCCAGCTCCCAGTCTTCAGCCCTCTTAAGAATCCTTGTGTTCTACACCAAAGCTCCCAGCCTACTAAGAAGCCCTGGGGCTCAAGCCCTCCATCCTCATTCCTCTCAAGAACCGTTAGGTTGGGCAGGCGCAGTGGCTCACACCTACAATCCCAGCACTTTGGGAGGCGGAAGAGGGGGGATCACCTGAAGTCAGGAGTTTGAGACCAGCCTTGCCAACATAGTGAAACCCCGTCTCTACTGAAAATACAAAAATTAGCTGGGTGTGGTGGTGGACGCCTGTAATCCCAGCTGCTCTAGAGGCTGAGGCAGGAGAATCGCTTGAACTCTGGAGGCAGAGGTTTCAGTGAGCCAAGATCGTGCCACTGCATTCCAACCTGGGCGACAAAGTGAGATTCTGTCTCAAAAGAAAATAAAAAAAATAAAATAAAATTTAAAAAGAACCATTAGATTAAAGCATCCCTCATCTCTAGACTCCATGAGAATCCCAATGTCTGAGCCTCCTAGTTTCTTTTGTTTTTGTTTTTGTTTTGAGACCGAGTCTTACTTTGTTGCCCAGGCTGGAGTGCAGTGGCGTGATCTCGGCTCACTGCAACCTCTGCCTCCCGGGTTCAAGCGATTCTTCTGCCTCGGCCTCCTGAGTAGCTGGGACTACAGGTACGCACCAGCACATCCAGCTAATTTTTGTATTTTTAGTAGAGACAAGGTTTCACTATGTTGGCCAGGATGGTCTCGATCTCTTGACCTGGTGATCTGTCCACTTCTGCCTCCCAAAGTGCTGGGACTACAGGTGTGAGCCACCGTGCCCAGCCCTTTTTTTTTTTTTTTTTTTTGAGATGGAATCGTGCTCTGTCACCCAGGCTGGAGTGCAGTGGCACAATCTCGGCTCACTGCAACCTCCACCTCCTGAGTTCAAGTGATTCTCCTGCCTCAGCCTCCAGAGTAGCTGGGTTACAGGCGCCCATGCCCGGTTAATTTTTGTATCTTTAGTAGAGACAGGGTTTCACCATATTGGTCAGGCTGATATGAACTGCTGACCTCAGGTGATCTGTTCGCCTAGTCCTCCCAAAGTGCTGGGATTACAAGCATAAGCCACCGCTCCCAGCCAAGCCTCCTAGTTTCTTACAAGGATCTTTTCACCAGTAACACAGGCAGCAGGGTGAGTCACTCATTGGAACTGCTGTCCCCTTCTACAAGGATCAGCCAGGACCTAAATGACCCAGGGTAAGGAGGTCCTGGGTAGTCTCTAGGGTAGAAGACACAAATCCCAAGCCCTGCCTCATACCTGTCCTAATCTTGACCCTATAGACCCTCTCAGGATCTACACCTGCCTCTACCTAGCCAGCAGTGTTTGTAGAGGAGTCTTCAGCATGGAGAGGGCATTCAAAAATTTTTTAAAATTTTTATTTATTTATTTATTTATTTGAGATGGAGTTTTGCTCTTGTTGCCCAGTATGGAGTGCGATGGTGCGATCTCGGCTCACCGCAACCTCCACCTCCTGGGTTCAAGCGATTCTCCTGCCTCAGCCACTCTAGTAGCTGGGATTACAGGCATGTGCCACCACACCCGGCTAATTTTTGTATTTTTAGTAGCAATAATGGTTTCTCCATGTTCATCAGGCTGGTCTTGAACTCCCGACCTCAGGTAGTCTGCCCGCCTCGGCCCCCCAAAGTGCTGGAATTACAGGCTCGAGCCACCGTGCCCAGCAAGGGTGTCCAAATTTAACTCTGGCCTCTTGACAATGGTCAGGGTTAACCTAGGCCACATGAGCACCTGCTAGGTACCAGGCACTGTTCTAGATACTGAGGATGCATCGATGAAAAGGACGAACACCATCCCTGCCCTGATGGAACTTATAATATAGTAGAGGGGAAGCAGACACAAACAAGAAAACAAATAAGCAGGGTTATTTCAGATAGTGGTTAGAGCAATAAAGGAAATAAAATCCTGTAATATAATAGGAGAGGGAAGGGCAGGGCAACATTAGCTGGGTGGTCAGGGAAGTCACTTGAGCAGAGACCTGAATAATGAAAAGAATCATCCTGTGGAGGCCTGTGGAGTGCGAGCCAGCAGGGAGGGGGGTCAAAGAGCCCGGATGCACCTGGGCACCCACCAAGGGGGTTGTTCTGCGTGCCAACATCCTGACCTTTTGTCACTGGAATCTCCCAGGGGCTGGGAGCTGGCTTTTCTCTCCTCCCTCCACCCCATCCTCTCCAGGACACTGTGCCCCCAACCTCCCTTTCCCCAGCCTGCCCTAGATTCCAAGATTCCTGATTAGCATCCAGAGCTGTCTACACTCTCTCATTAAGACTGACTTTGCCAGGCCCCCATCAAGGGCACCTACGATGCCTGCCCAGTGTCCCCTGCCTTCCCCACACTCCCCAAAAAGCTTTCCAGAGCTTGGCAGCACACCCTGAAGCCTCTGGGCCTGATCTACCCACTCACTCCGCCCCACCACTGCCTCTCTTTCTCTTTCTCTCCCTCCCTGCTGCCCCCACCCCCACCAACTTTCTTTCAATTACCATGTATTGGCTGCTGCCAGTAGGCCAAATACTGTGTTAGGTAGTCCACCACAGAGACTCTAAGGATGAATAAAACTTGGTACTGGCCCTAGAGAGCCAGAGTCTTTTTTTTTTTTTTTTCCTTTTGAGACAGTCTTGCTCTGTCCCCCAGGCTGGAATACAACGGCGCGATCTTGGCTCTCTGCAACCTCCACTTCCTGGGTTCAAGTGGTTCTCCTGCCTCAGCCTCAGCCTCTCGAGTAGCTGGGATTACAGGCATGCACCACCACACCCAGCTAATTTTTGTATTTTTAGTAGAGACAGGGTTTCACCACATTGGCTAGGCTAGTCTTCAACTCCCAACTTCAGGTGATCTGTCCACCTCGGCCTCCCAAAGTGCTGGGGTTATAGGCATGAACCACCATGCCTGGCCAGAACTAGGGTTTTGAGGGAGACAGACATGTGAAATGCTTTAGTATCTCAGATACTCCTTGGTATCTGAGATGCCAAGGAACCTGGTTACTAGTTCTACCAAGGACCATCAAAGAAATGAGTTATGGCCAGGTGCGGCAGCTCATGCCTGTAATCCCAGAACTTTGGGAGGCCAAGGTGGGCAGATCATCTTAAGTCAGGATTTCAAGACCAGCCTGGCCAGTATGCTGAAACTCCATCTCTACTAAAAATACGAAAATTAGTTGGGTGTGGTGGCAGCTTCTGTAATCCCAGCTACTGGGGAGGCTGAGGCAGGAGAATCGCTTGAACCCGGGAGGCAGAGGTTGCAGTGAGCTGAGATCGCGCCACTGCGCTCCAGCCTGGGCAATAGAGCAAGACTCCAGAACAAAAAAATTAAAAGCATGGAAAAACAAAAGAAATGGGTTGTTAGATGTGTGAAGTTGAGGATGACAAAACCTCTGTAACACTGTTTCCCCAGCTACAAAATGGGTTTCTCTGTCTAGAAGGTTGCTATGAAGTTCTGATGAAATCATGTAGGTAAAATGTGTAGCATAGTGTTTGGCATGCGGAAAGTGCTTAATATATAGGAGAGATATATTTCTCAAGATAGATGAGAAATGTTGCTCTTATTAATCTCACACATGGTTCTTTTTTTTTTTTTTGAGACGGAGTTTTGCTCTTGTTACCCAGGCTGGAGTGGTGCAATGGCGCGATCTCGGCTCACCGCAACCTCCGCCTCCTGGGTTCAGGCAATTCTCCTGCCTCAGCCTCCTGAGTCACTGGGATTACAGGCACGCGCCACCATGCCCAGCTAATTTTTTGTATTTTTAGTAGAGACGGGGTTTCACCATTTTGACCAGGATGGTCTCGATCTCTTGACCTCGTG